CCGCATTGATCTTCCTCCCATGGCATCCCCTGCAAGGCTGTCAGAGCGATGGACGGATAAAAAGACCCACAACATTTTTCTTTCTCCCTCCCGGTGTCTTTCTTTTCTCTCTGTCAGGAGGGCTCCCACTGATCAGCGGGGATGAGCTGAAAGTTGAACTACCTGTTGACAGGACCTCTTAAACATCCCTCAATGACATATTGTGTATAGGGAAGGGGGGGGGGGGGCAGAGGCTCCTGTTCATTCATATTTGTCACTGATCTATTGAGTCCGTGCTCACATCAAATCTGTGCTTCTTTGCTCATATTTTCTCTGCGTTAAAGCAGACCAGAGGGTGATGGTAAACCAATACTCACCAGTATTCACATATTAAAAATTTTTCCATAAGAATGTGGATGGTGGGCAATTGGTGTTTTGGGCCAGCCAATCAGAGCTCTTAGTCTTTCGGCCTACTGGAAACCCCTCGCAAAAGATCCAGCAGCCTTTTGGGAAATAGGGGACAAAGCACATATATTTCCTATTTGTAAAGGCAGGGTTAGGGTTAGTGTTAGGGTTAGGGTTAGGGTTAGGGTGTGATATACTGGTATGTTAGCTTTACATACAAAGAGTAATGCCCTGCTATTTGTATATCTTACACAATCAATTAGTATATTTTCTAAGTACTGTCATTTTGAACCAGGAAGTATAAAGAGCCATACAGTTTTTTGGGTTATTTGAACCCAATCCACTATCAATTCCTAAAGCTAACCAAGAAGTGTGGTGCCTTAATCCCAACAAGTACTTTCTTCTGAAGACAGAAGTGTATTCTGAAAAGCATGTATTCATAGAAGAAACAGAAGTTACTGGACATTCGTAGGCGAATAAACATAACGTTTTTGAATGTTTTGAAATAATTAAAATGAACAGTTGTATGAGGAAGGTATGTTTAAAATATAATATAGTGAGATCCGATATCAGGCCTTGTCTGCAACTCTATTTTTCCCCTCTTTAAAAATAAAACAATCCATATGTGAAGCTTCCCATGTTTCTAATATCGCTGAGTTTTGATCAAGAGGCTCCAGGCATGGGATGGAGTTTTGGATTCAATCTGGCAGGGCTTGTGTGACAGTCTTCTCTGTGCACTTCAGAGTGTTTTCGCCTCATTACAGAAAGTAATAATGCGGTGAAGTCAAAGAGCGAGCGAAAGGAAGGAAAACAAGGCCGCTTTTTTATTGAATTAATTAGAAGCCTTGCAAAGACCACCTGCAATAGAAACAAAACACAAGCCAGAAAGAAACTCATATCATCATGATCTGTTCTACCGCTAAGTCTAAACCAACTTTTTCGAAGTAATTGATCTCTGTTAAGATTAGAAAGCTCCGTTTCTACTTTGAAAAAACACTTGCAGCTTTTTAATGTATCCAAATGTCTCTGCTGCTTATGCTTAATATTTAGCATTCAACTCTCAGTGCATGTAACATATGGTTAATTCCCACATTGTCCCTTCAACTACAGATTACTGTAGCTACAACCCCCCCCCCCTTTGTCTCAATAATGATTTGGTTGAAATATGATGGAATTCAGCACATTGTGAAAAATGATTGATTTGTTTAATGCAATGAATGACTTCATTAGGACTTAATGAGGTATTGCATTGTGATTAGTCGATGGGTTTTGTGTCAATACATGTCAAAATAACAAAGTAAAGTCCAACTAATGGCTTTTCGATCCTTTCGTTTTCTCCCAGTCTTGTCTTAAATGTCACACAGAAGTTTTGTGACAGAACTCAAGTAAAGTCGGAAATAAATGGTTTATTTTAATATGCATTTATAATAGGTGCCTAATATTGACACTGTTTTTCATTTACTTGTATATGGTTACAATTAGAGAGAGACACATACAAATCCCTCATGCATTTATGATGCATGGTGCCATTGATAAGACAGAAATGAACCGAGCACATTCAAATGCTGACTGAAATACACTTCCATTGTGTTACAGATACCACTTATAATTAAGCTGAGGCTTGCAGAGAAGAAAAAAAAAGAGAGCAAAGAAGAAAATGCATTTAGAAAAACCGAGTGAAATCAGTTTGTGTGCGTGTGCACGAGTGTGCGTAGTGTTTTTGTGTGTTTAGGGGGTGCATGTGGTGCTTTGCTGAATATTAAACCACAAACTTTAAAGACAACAACTGAACTGTCGTGAGAAAATGCTAAAGGAAGTCTTTGTGGTTTTAGAGGTATCACAGGAGCCAATAGTTTTAATGAGGCAGCATGGCTGTACATGCCAGGAAATGATAAGGTTATACAGGTTAGAGTAACGGCACATAGATACTGTACCAGCATGAAGCTACAGAGTGTCTTCTTATCGGAGTCTGCACAGGCGTCATATCCATGGCAGAGACACTGAGACATAATAGGGACAAAGTGGCACTTCCCTTAATACAACCGGTAAGACTGACAAACCTGAGCCTTGATCTTCTAAAAGCAAAGTGCCGCTGCATTTGTATTGTTGTTTGTCTTCTGTATATGTGATGGTTGCATGAGACTCCTGACAGAAACAGGCTGATGTCAAAAAAGAAAGTGTTGTTGGTGTGATTTCTGTGGGCAGCCATTTGATTATACTCAGTGTCTTTTGGAGGGGATGCACATATTGAATTGTTGTCTAGTAGGGTTGTGTATGGGTGCGTCTTTGCCTGCGCGTGTGTGTGTTTCTACTTGTACACCAGCCTCAGATTCCTTGTGTGTTGATATGAGCAGAGGGGGATGTCACATAAGAAATGTCCTTTTTAATCAGGGGAAAAATATATAAAATGACTGGGGAGCAAGGCAAGCATATTAATGTGTCTCATTTGCATACGCTCGTCAGCCAGGATACGTTTATAAAAAACACAAACTGGATTCGTCAGTTCATTTCACATTATTCCATTGTCTATCTGCCTTTGTTATATGTTAAAGATAAAGGCAGAAATCAAATTGAAGAAAAGGGCAAGCTGCTATCTCCCCAAATGAGCAACAGCTCATCAGCCTAGTTTAAATCACAGATTTCTATTCCAAAAGGCAGCCGCCTCTGTAAAAAGGGCCCATTCAAATAAGGTCTTCTCCGATATAAGCACGCCTGGTGATGGAAACTGGGGTGTCAAATAAATACAATTCCAAACCTAAGCCATTTAAAGCAGTCTAACAAAGTTGTATCTCTCCCAATATTATCATCACAATAAATGTACACGTATACAGTATCTATTTTTCCTCCAATCAAGTATAAACTTGTCATTGTTAGGCTTTTAAAATGCTTTATTTCTTACATGATTATTTAAGTCACATGAGAGCACGATCACAACATCTGTCGTAAATCTAAGTATGACAGAGGCATCTATAAGCCCACACAACATAGTCTGCCCATTATGTTGTTCAGAATTCAGTATAATGGCTTAAGATACATGTGGGGAGGAATAAGGAGAACTCAAAGGGCAGCCTACGAGTGTCACATTCCTTTAAACACAAGTGGAAGCTGCTCACAGTGTCTGATTCATGTCCGCAAGATAAGAATCCACCATCCACTGTGTGTTGGTGGGGCTGGTGGCTAAAAGAACAGACCCCTTATGTCTACTAACCTCCTACTAGTGGGAGAGGAGGGAAACACATTCAATTGAGAGAAGCACAATGTAGTGTCCTCCAAGCTTAAGAAAGTCTGGCCAACCTTAGTTGCCCTTCGGGCCTGTAAAGTGTGTACGGAACATGTGTGCACATATTTCTATGGCGGGTGTGTCCCGTTGCTGCAGGATTGGGTCCATAAGCTAAAATGATCCTGCTTTCTCTTAAAAGTGAACTCACCTAATGCCAGTGCTTTACACTGCCTCTCCATGAAAGGATGTTTTGATGATTATAATCATGCGTTACAGCACAGTGGCTGCCACTGTTACCAGGCAGCATACTAATCAGCTTAATGAGATATTATACAATATTTTGTTGACCAAAGCAGAACCGTGGTTATTGTTTCTGAGGGTTTGACCCCTGCTAGCAGCTAGAGGAAGTGTGCACATAGATGTTTGTACCTCTCCTTCTCTAGAGCAGATGGATCTCTCTGCAGAACAATGCTTTTCTTTAGTTTGATTTTGGTTTTATTCACTGATGTTACACAAATGAAAATCAAAACATTGAGGGTACAACATGTTCAGAAAATGCTGTTAAATGTTGCAATACAGGAACCCAGGACTACAAAATGTGTCACACTGTAACAACAATGCGTTGCTTATTCCTCTCAACCATGTAACAACCGATGCATTTCTGCTGCATTGGGAAGCTGTTCCAACACATACCATTGTTGTTTTCTCTACCTTTAAACTGACTTTAAAGATGAAAGTAGAGAGAAGAAGACGGACAGAGATAACTTGAGGAATGAAAAGAAGCAGAAGTGATTCACATCAAATGTAGTGCAGATCGTTAATAGAGTTTTGCACCAAGACAAGTGTCGTGGCAACAAGATAAGAGTGTTGTGTTTACTGGAGTAACCCCTTGGCTTTAAGTGCTATTGTTAATATCATAATTGTAGTATTGCGGTGGCTCCCCGACAATGCCGTTGCTCCGTTTCATTAAGGCGTGTAATTGGAGGAATTCTGATAGGATGGGCACAAGGAGCTTAATTATACACTGCTCACTGTGTTTACGGAGTAATTATTCCATCCAAAATGGTGTTATATTTTGAAAAACTTATATGGAGTCACAGTATCTCTCCAGGCCCTTGGCGCTGACGATTCACACAGAATGCCATGTATCAAATGCAATCTTTATATCTGTGCTGGGTGACACAGCACAGGTGTTGTTCCCCTAAGTAAGGAAGCACATTAGTCTTGAACATGTGGCTGGATAATATTATATCTGCAATCTGGAAAGCAAATACTAAGAGAACATCACCAGCAATAATGTCAAAGTGTCTTTAAAATGCCTTTTCTTTCCTAAAATGTGATTTCTTTTCATGTCATTATTTCCAATGTATTTCCCTCTTTCTGTCTGGTTTTACAGGATGGAGGACTCTAGTTTGTGTCTTGGTGTGTCGTCAGCGGTGTCCGACGCTGATGCCCATCTGAGCAATGCAGTGTTAAATGGCCGCTACCCCATCAGTCAAAAGCTTCATCAGCTTACTGCCCAGCTAGGACACGCCTTTCCTGACCTGCACCGCCCACAACAGATCCCTGAAGAGAAAGCAGCCACGCCTTTGGACGAGAATAACCACCACACAGCCCTGGCCAGTCAGCCTATCAGCAGTCAGATGGCCCTGTTAGCCAACCAGCTCAACCGAGACATAGACGCAGGGGCACTGAGCGGGTTGAACGGGCGTGTTGACCTGCAGCAGTTTCTCAATGGCCAGAACTTGGGCATCATGTCCCAGATGAATGATATCGAAGATGACGCCCGCAAAAATAGGAAGTATCCTTGTCCACTGTGTGGCAAGCGCTTCCGTTTTAACAGCATACTGTCACTGCATATGCGCACCCACACAGGAGAGAAGCCCTTCAAGTGCCCCTACTGTGACCACCGAGCAGCACAAAAGGGCAACTTGAAGATCCACCTGCGCACCCACAAGCTGGGAAATCTTGGGAAAGGCCGCGGTCGTGTCAGAGAGGAGAATAGGCTTCTGCATGAGCTAGAGGAGAGGGCCATCATTAGAGACAAGCAGATGAGGGGGAGCAGCAATCTCCTCCAGACACCTCCGACACCCCATCTGAGCCTCAATAGCAGCTCTAACACCCTTCAGCAGCAGCAACTAGGCTCAGCCTGTGGCCTTCTCCCACCCTCTGGCATGGCCACCCCAGAAACAATTTCCCAACCCTCTTCTTCACCCAAGCCGGCTGGCACCCAGGATGAACAGTCCTTCAACCTGACTACAGGCTTCCGCTGTACCTTCTGCAAAGGGAAGTTCAAGAAGCGCGAAGAGCTGGACCGCCACATCCGCATTCTCCACAAGCCCTACAAATGTACTCTGTGTGAGTTTGCTGCTGCCCATGAGGAGGAACTGATCAGTCACGTGGAGAAGGCCCATATTACAGCTGAGAACACACTGGGCGGGGGGACTGGTGGTCCTGGTGGCACGCAGCCGCCAACTGAATTCCGCTGTGAAGTGTGTAGCCAGGTGTTCAGCCAAGCTTGGTTCCTTAAGGGCCACATGCGCAAGCACAAGGACTCCTTTGAGCACTGCTGCCAAATCTGCGGCCGTCGCTTCAAGGAACCCTGGTTTCTCAAGAACCATATGAAGGTCCATCTCAACAAGCTGGCAATCAAGAACAAGCCGAACCAGCCCAGTGAGCAGGAGATGGCTGCCGTCAATAGCATGAACAATCTTGCTCAGGAAGCTCATGCCAATCTTTATTCCCGCTACATCTCCTGTCTTCAGGGAGGCTTCCTGTCCCCAGACAAACAAGGCCTGAGTGAGCAGCACCAAATGTTGGCTAAGGCTGGGATTGCCATGAAGGAAAAGGAGATGCTAGGGAAGCTGCTGGGGCCCATGGCAGGAGGAATGGGCCACGGTCTGGGCGAAAACGAGAAGCGCTCACTCCTGGGTTGTCTCAACCTTGTGCCACCGCTCAAGTCGAGCTGCATGGAGCGCCTCCAAGCAGCTGCAAAAGTGGCGGAGATGGACTCCCTCAATAGTTACCAAGCCTGGCAGATAATGGCCCGTGGCATGGCAATGGACAGGGCCTTCATGCCCAAGGAGCAGCAGCACCACCAGCACCACATACCCCAAGGGCAAGAAGATGAAATGAGTGGTGCTGGGGCCCTGGCTTCCTACTCAAACAAACAAGACAAACAAGACTACTCCTTGATTGCTTCCAATGATAGCTCAAAGCAGAAGCATCTCTCAGAGGCCTTGCAGGGACCAAAGGCCGCAAGTGGAGCCATGATGGCCATGAAGGAAGATGGAAGAGGCTTTGACGGTCACCGTGACTTAATGTCTGTCCACGGCAGTGCCGAGGGCCCCGGAGCCCTTGCTGGCTTAGGAAGTCCAAACATTGACTTCAGTCTTTCCAGTCTCTCCGTCATGAAAGAGAAACCTTCAGAATGCCCTGACTGTGGACGGGTCTTCAGAACGTACCATCAAATGGTCGTCCACTCCCGCGTTCATGGCAAAGACAGGCGAGTCCATGAGGAAGCGGTGCAGCAACAAGGACTGGACGAACGCCGCGGATCAGCGAGCGACCCAGAGTCCCAGTCCATCAGCCGCTCCACCACTCCGGGTTCATCCAACGTGACAGAAGAGAGCGGAGCCGGAGGAGGACACTCCCAGACAGGAAGCGTCCAGGATGACAGCCCACATCCCTCCTCACCATCTTCAGGTAAGAGAAAAGAAAATCAAAGAATGAATGGCAAGCACTTGTGTTGGGTCTGTCTATAAAGGGATGAACATTTCATCCTGTTTACATCCACTCAGGAATGATGTTTACTTAATGTTACTTTCTTACTGTTCAACAATTCTACCTAGGCTACGCCCTATAATAATCACATTGTATAATGTGCACGTGTGTGGAGAAATAAAAAAATAACATAATCCCACAAAATCAAGGCCACACATTCCTCACATAACTCAGATATTTAAAGTCTTTGTTAAATCACCCACACACACACTGCTTATTAAATCCAAGTGAACAGAGCGTACTGTATATCATATACTCAGATGTAAAAAGGTACTGATGTCTAACTTGCAAGATCTAATGCTGTACATAATAGCAATTGTCCTCTGACACGGCTATGTTGTTTCAACCATGAACATTAAGCGAAACAGAAGTCTACGGAGAACAAAAGCCAGAAAAAGACCTGCTTCACAACTGCAGGTTACCAGTCTATATTCCTGTGGAACAAGAGTGCAGACTGGGAGTGTAGGGACAAACTAGTTTTAACCACAGCGATTAATAAATGTCTTTCATAAACATGTTGAAGACAAACCCCCCCCCCCCCCCCCCCCCCTCTGCCTTCCCAGCAAACACAGGCCGGTCTGGGCTAGATAAGTGTATGTTTAGTGGGATTAAGGGAGGCTCGTTGCTAATGATTACACAAGTTTTTAAAGGTAACTTTCGCATGCTCCTCAGGGCACTACGCCGGCATTAAGAAGCGTGCGCAGTAATTAGGTCACGAGTACGCGATAATCAGTCGGTTTAAGCTAAACAATACACTAATTAAAGATATACATATAAAGCAGGTCAAAAAAATGTGTGAACTTCATTTGCAAAAGCGAGGATGTGCTTTTAAGTCTTTTGAGAGAAAAATAAATAAATATAAATCAGAGTGGCTTAGCTTAAGGCTGTAAGCAACTTAATTCCACCAGTGGAGATGAAATTGTTTATTTATTCACAGAGGCATGAAGTCCTTATCGTGCCTGTGTAGTGTGATGGGTTTGAACATGGGACAGGCTATGTTTATTTTAATCTAAGAAATAATAACAGACAACCCCCCACCCCAATTAGGAATTAATGAAAATGAGAGTGAGATAAAAACCTATTTTCTTTATAGAGACTATTAAACATTACACTTTCTCAACAGAGTGGGGGTGTAGCGGATGTAATTATCTTCTGAATTTTAATGCTGGAAGTTTCTCTCTCCATCTCTCTTTCTGTGTCTCTCTTTTGACTCAAGCCCTTTGAATCAGATGAGTACAGCTCGTGGCATTTCAACAACTTCAGAAGTACTATATTAACCGCCAGTGTGCGGTATGCAAAATAAAATTACAGTAAAAATAATAAATGACAAATAAAAACCGATAGCATTTACGACCAAATGCTAACCAAGCACAACAACATGCATTCGATTTAGCTGAGTGGTTAAATCTCACCCCCGGGGCACCATCTTTGGAGAAGGTAGGATTAAAGAATTTATAAATATAATTAAAACAGTGTATGGACAACATTGCACAAGAAAAAAAAATAGCCTGCTGTTTTATACAAGGTCTTGATATTGCAGTTCCTTTTGTCTTTGTGTATTAGAGCTTGATACATTTAAAGTCTTTGTCAATCTGCCGCTGTCATATCTCAAAGGCTGTCCTCACATTGATCAGAAGTGATAGATTCTAAAATTAAAAGGTTTTATTGTCGTATGCAAAGACAGTGCAGTTATGACAATAACAATCTATAGTCCCAGGCACCTCCAACAATGCAACATATATATATATATATAAGACATAAAACAATACAAATAGTGCAAAAAGAAACAGAATAGAAATAAAATAGTGCAAGAGAATGTTGCATGTGACCAATGTGCAAAAAGTCAATGTGTAAGAAGTCAACTATATGCATGTCAAATAGATTAAGATGAGCAAAAGCAGAATGTCAAATTCAATACTCTACAGGAATAAAATACTGTTTATTGTAATAATAAATAAATGAATGCTTAAAGTTATTAAGGCACTTTAGAGAGCTTGTTCTTATACTGCAAGAAAACGCGATACATTAACAGCTCTGATGTTCAAAATGTTTAATAAGCTGCTTTTTGCTACTTCCTGTTTTTTAATCGGAGGTAACGAAACTTGTCTGTCTTCACAGCTTACACAATGCGATTCACATTTGGAGCTCTGGGACTCTCAAATTAGAAGCTTTGATGTGTGAGAAAAAATGTGTCTGAGTCTCATGTGGAGAAAGGTGTCGTGCTTCTCTTCGGCATACATGTTTGTTGTGTGTGTGCATGTGTCTGTGTGTAGGCTTTACAGTGTGTGTGAATATCACGAAGTGAACAGGATGTGGCTACTGTACCATTGTCTTTATCTTAATATCGCAGGTTTTCAAAAAGCAAGGCTTGTCTTATTCTGTGTGTGCGTGCACCTGCGAAGTGTGTGTGAGCCTCTGCCCCGCCAATACCCACGGCAATTTTGAGTTAAACTTGAATTATAGTAATCAAAAATAACATCTCAACTGTGAAAGAAGGTCAGCTCCGCCGCTTTTGTCTTTGAGACGGCGCTTGTTTAAAAGCAACGAGTGAAAGAAAAGGGAGGATTGAGGAAGAAAAGAGCAGAAAAACAAAGGCCTCTGTCAGAGATGTCCTTTAAGGACCTTCCTTATTGCAATATAGCGCTGCAGCTAACCTTGAGCTTACTTTCTTATTCAACCAAATACTTTATTTCTTTAAAGAAAACAAAGAGGTAATTACATTTATGTCGATCAACATTGTTGTTTTGTTTGGCTTTCCTTCTGCGTTTCCACCCTGTCAGTGAAGCAGTGTAGAGAGATATAAGGATTGAGCAACAGGTAAGACAGCGCATCACATCCGTAAAGACCCTTGGAAAACCGTCTTTTTTGCCAGCTTAAACATGCAAATAACCTCCCATTGAAAATCCTCATTTTGCACGTTTGCGTCTTCCCATTATAGTTCAAATGTAGCTTAATGTGTAAAAATAGGCTTTGCTGCATGCATGTAAGGCCTAAAGCGGTCCTGCTTACATGTACCTCAGCGACTTTCCCACTTCCTGTAAACCCCACTCCCACCTCTTGGCTGTAAAATACTTTTTCCGTGTCTCCAGGGAATCCCCCATGTCTACATTTTTTAAGAGGAACAGCGTTTTAACATGGCGAGGATTAGCCTGCATATCCCTGGTCTTTACCGCGGCTCAAACAAGCAGGCAAAATGCTCCATACAAATTGAAATTGGATTTGCCAACTTGACGCCTTAGGTTATAAAGCATGGATATTCATCTAATTGCGACGGTACAATGGGGGCGTAATTACACATGCGGACAAACTGTTACAGTGTAATTACTGTGTCATTAACAGGAATAAAGTAAGAGTTTAACTAAATCCAGACTACTCTGAATATGCATGCTGACAAACATGAACTCACCAGATACTATCAGGATATTGAAGTTATTGAGTCTTCACCTGGCAATATCACAGAGGTATACCTTCTGAGGATTGGTATTGAATATTTTACTTTTACAAAACTAATAAATGTAGCATATTTGAACATACAAATGAGTAAAGCTTGTGACCCTTGGTCCCAGGTTCACTACATTGGGGTTCATAATAAAAGTTGATGGTGGCTACTGTCTTTTAGAGGTTACCTGTGACACAAAATACGTATAATACTAATAATTCAATCAATAATCCGTCTATATTGTGTCCCTGAATCAAATTGATACAAACTAAAGGAGAAAGACAATTTGACTTTGTTTTTGGCCAAACCTCAAGGATATGAGGCGACATGGGGCCCACGTTTTTATTTCCTTGGGCCTCTGTGTGGATTAATTTGGCCATGTAGTAGAGGAACTAAGGCCCCTACAAGTTAAGATAACAAAGCACGTCTTTTTCAAGTCTTTAATGTGTCAGTTTTTGAAAAAGATGCTTGTATGAAAATATTTCACAGCAGAATGATTTTTTTTTTCAGTTCCTCCCCATAAGGCAAGGCAAGGCAAGGCAAGGCAAGGCAAGGCAAGGCAAGGCAAGGCAAGTTTATTTATATAGCACTTTTCAACACAAGGCAATTCAAAGTGCTTTACAAAAAATGAAAGACATTAAGAAAATGGCATTTAAAATCAGTCATTAAAAAGAAAAGCTAATAAAATAAACATTAAAAGAAAAAATACATGGATAAAAGTTACAGTGCAGTCAATTAAACATTAAAAGAAAAAAGTACATGGATAAAAGTTACAGTGCAGTCTAAGATATGAATAGTTCAATTAAAAGCAGCGGCAAAAAGAAAAGTCTTCAGCCTGGATTTAAAAGTAGTCAGAGTTGTAGCGGACCTGCAGGTTTCTGGGAGTTTGTTCCAGATATTTGGAGCATAATAACTGAACGCTGCTTCTCCATGTTTAGTTCTGACTCTGGGGACAGAAAGCTGACCAGTCCCTGAAGACCTGAGAGATCTGGATGGTTCATAATTTAGCAGGAGGTCAGAAATGTATTTTGGGCCTAAACCATTCAGTGCTTTATAAACCAGCAGCAGTATTTTGAAATAAAATAAAAAATAAAAATAGGGAAAGTGTTGGCTTCTTCAAAGGGGCCTGCCTTATCACATGCATTTATGTAAGGAAATGATCATCAGAAAGAATGTCAGGTGGAAATGGAAAATCAAAAAAAATCCATACGCTTCTGTTTAGTTAGTGAGGAGGCCAATCATCAAAACATTACATTTCTATGTATCAAGGACTCAGGTTATTTAAATACCAACCAAAACACTAGTTTTGCAGATGTTTACAACCATCTATTTAAAAAACTAGACATAATAAAGTACTAAAACATGTCAGCCACATTCAAAATGTCTCACTAAGAGAAGCCAGAATATCCAACTTATACCTCTTTACTGTCTCCCACCACCTCACGCTGCAGCTGACACTTTGAAATGAGGCCAGCCCTCTGTG